CCAGAGAACCATATCTATCAACCTATCAGAGAACATTTCACGATTTTTGCTTTTAAGGCGAGAAAAACAGGAACATACCGTCCGGAATAGCGTTTTTTGCCCTTATTTGAAGCACATTTTGGTACTTTTCTCCAAAATGCTACAAACAATGCCCATGAGATTTGGTATATATATCCACCGAGAGGTCCTCTTAAATCGCCTCCATGCCTCCTCATTTATTTAATTACGTACAAGAAATGCGGAGACCAGTATGTCGGCGAGACGGGTAGACCAGACTGTCCAGTGATCGCGCCAAAGAACACATCCGTTACGCCAAGCTGAAGCACAACCGACCGACCGGCTCGCATTTTAACTAGGGCTGTACCGATGTATCGGCTTACACCGGTATCGGCCGCCGGTCTTGTACTATCGGCACCATCGGCCATATGGCGCCGATGCCTGTGCTGGTGCCCTAAGGACGGGCAAAGCGAAAAAAAAATTACGAGGGTGTTCACGCGACTCGGCGCCGGTCCTCCTGTCTCGCTGAAAGCCACCCTAACAAAACATCCATCCCCTATCCACCTTGTCGAACAACCAGGTGGATAGGGGGTGGATTTGGAACCAGGTGGACGTCTCTCCCTGTGGATATCCACCTATCCATTCGCGCTCATGTATTTCGAGCCAGATGGATTTTCACTCCCGGTGGATTTTCCCCCGGGTGGACATCGCTGCAACAGGTGGAAATAACGCCAAGGGGAACATCCACCTGCTTCCAAATCCACATGGGAGATGGACGTTTTTTTAAGGACACTCCTCCCAGGCAAAAATATCAATCGGATTATGTTATAGCCGTATTATAGGAACCGACGGAGGAAAGTAGCGGTAAAGAACGGGGAATCATTACATCTCCATTTACGCAATGCTTTTGCAAGGAATGTGTCACTAAGTGCTCTCAATTGCAGCAATGGGTAGCGAGCTAACCATTGACAGCCTCATAGAGAGACAGACAGGCCGGACAGGATCAAAAGTGATTTCTATCGTTTCAAGGAGGCCTACTGATGAGTATCACATGGCTTCCAATTAGGCCTATTTTAATTTTTAGGCGATTTCTTCTACAGGCCACGATTGACACCGGCACCGACACCGGCCGATGGGTATGAGGAAAAAATCGGCCATCGACCCACCGGCCAAATGGTACCTAGGCAACTGTCTCGAGGGGAAGGGCAAGCTAATAAATACATATCTGTCTTGGTTTCTTCTTCCGTAAACACATAATCTCCCAGGTCCACGATCTCGTAAATGTCCACGATGTTGGGATGCCTCAGGTTTTTGATGAGGGTCAATTCTCAGGGGCATAGACTTCGTAGCAAATTCCTTCGAGGCCTTGATCGATGAGTTTGCATGCGACCTCTGCATGGTTTGAAACCGCCGGGGAGAGTCTTTCTGCCACTCGGACCTTGGAATAGGAACCTTCGCCGATCCTCCTTCCGACCCGATGACCCAGGGTTAAAAGGATACTTGAGTGAGCTCCCAGACGGGACATTTCTCGCCACTTTTTGTCACGGAAAGAATTTTGTTCTCTAGTTGTCATGGTTCCCAGGAACAATGGATTTTTTGTCGTTCTCAACCGTGCTTCCTTCGATACATCTACACAAATCTAGCTTCACTTCTTCGGGGAGTCATCGTCGGCAAACTCTTAGAGGCTTCAGAAACGTACGCACTTTAAAGCCTCTAGCCCCAGTGTGAAGAGAAGAAGCGATACCAGGACCAAGCCAGATGTGCTCCGCTTACCACCGCGACCTACGGTCGACACTTTTCCATTAATAATTATTCATTGCCCTCTTCCCGAAAAATCAGTTATTCGCCCTACTCTGGATCCCGTACGCCTCCAATCTCTTCTTAGGAACGAATCAAAAGCTATCGCGAATTTTAAGTAGACGATGTTCACGGGATTCCCCTCATCCCTTTGTTCCGTCGCCTCTTAAAGCCGTGCCGAGAGTCCCGGATGAGCGTGTTCCTCTCGAGAAAATCTAAAATGCTACCCCTTAGGATGCTCTTCATGATCTTCCCCAGAATACTCGTGAGACTTACCGGCTTGTAATTATCCGGATCGTTCTTATCTACCTTCTTAAATATCGGTACGACATTTCTTGGTTTCTAGTCCCGAGGCACTTCATACGAAAAACCGCTCTGGAACATGATTTAATGATGTTGTCAGTACCGATACTTCCCACGCGAATTCCTCGATGACACTCGCCGAGATCCAATCGGGACAGGTTGTCGCACCTGCCGCCGACTTCCCCATCCCATTGATGATCGTAATTTCTTCTTAAGTGATGAAGAATATCATCGATGCGCGCAGAGGTGACCTCAGTCGATGCTTCGGATTCAGTCGTGGAAACGGATGCAAAATAATCATTCGGAATCACGGTCATGCTTCCGTCACATACAACTAATTGCCCATTATCGTTCCTTATGGGTCCGAACGTGCGTTGACACCTGCCGCTGGCATATCGATAAGAAGTCTTGGAATTATTCTTAGTATCGGTGGCTAGCCGTTCCTCGGCTTCCGGTCGCGCTGACCTAATTTCCCCGCTTTAACTCTCTCTTTATAGTCTGTTATTCCTCGTAGTCCGCTCGGTCACCCGCGCGCCGATACGAATCCCACTTCCGCTTCTTACATCTAATCAGCGGCTTAATTTTACCTGTAAACTAGACTGACTGAGCGATCTCTTTCACTTCTTGGGATGCAAACCTCCATGAAAGCTTCGCAGCAAGGTTTTGAAAACTTCCCTCTGCTTCTTTACTGTCCGCCCACGTAACCTTCCCTCCCATTCCATGTTCGAAACGCATTCACGTAGCCTTTCCAAATTCGCATTCCTATAGTCATACAATCCTTCGCCAGCTTTTCGTCCGTTTGATCAACCACGTGATCGCACAACGATCCGAGCCCTCTATGTCATCTTCAACTTCAACATCGAGCCAGATCGTCATCCGTTGCGAAAACGAAATCCAATAAAGCGGCATTTCGAGTCGGCTCTTCGACGTGCTGTACGAAGAGAGCACCTGGATCCTGGATCGCAATGACAAATTCCCTTTCCCTCTCGCGGCACTGTCCAATATGCAGTTTTTTAAGCATCTTAAAATCCCCAAGAACAATGACTTATCGCTGATACTACTCATTAGTTTATAGAAACTAATGTTATAGTTTATCGGGGAGAGTTTTTCGGCCCATAGCTAATTCCTTTCACGATCCTCCCTGTCGCCCCATCGATCTAGCACCTGTTCAAGTTTTTGATTGAACCACAGTTAACCGAAAGGAGATCCTTCCTAATGCAAGCGCAAAATTCGTTCATAGCATACAAAATGACTCTTTCACCCTTTTGTCGAGTTGTAGTGGGGGAGTACTAAAGTTGGTATCTTTAATTGGAGACGTTTCAAGAAATAATTTATCTCCCTTCGCTTGACAGTTTCGCGCTAAACAATAATCTCAAGTGACTTTATGGACGCTATAATTACGCATGTTTTGGGGGGGTATAGCAGATAGAGACTGGCTTCAGTCAACAATCCCGGAAGAAGCATCTCTTTCCCCATGGATGCCCATGTTAATACGAGGTATATTCTATGCATAAGTGTAGTGGTATCGGCCCCTCGAGCCGATGGTCCGACTACGTGCTAACAGCCTCGTGCTTTAGACCGGTATTCCAAGTCAAATTACCAGCTTGAGGAGATAAGAATGACAAGAGAAAACGCTCGCATGGGAGGATACCAGTCCAACCACTTGTGTCCCTACAACCGTCTCCGCACGTACAGACTTTCATTTGCTATTTCACATTCACCGAGGCTTTACGATTTTATTGATTGAAATTATTTTTCAAAAGGAACTAGAAGTTTCCCATACTTAGTTTAACCTATACCTATGCCAGACTTGTAAAATATCCACTCCTCCACGGCGAGTACGTTTGGCGGATCGGTGAGTGAAAATCAAAATGGTCTGACAAGTGAAAAATCAAAGAACCTTCAACAACCCCTCTTCGTGCGAGTTAACGTTTGCCATTCCCTGCGTACGAGTCAGCATCGCCTATCGTAATAACCTAGACACACATTGGCATTGATCTTTCTGTGCAGGAACAACGTTTTTAGGTCGTCGGGGGAGGAAAAACGTTGCTTGGCTGGTGAAAGTTTACGAATTTATTTCAGGGCTGGCCTAAGCCAACTTCCTGTAGTTTCCGCTGATTTTTGGAACAGCAAACCCTAACAACATATCGACATTATCAATGGTTCTGGCCAGAACGATAGAGGCACTTAACCAAACATTACTTATGGTACCACAGCTGCCAAATCCGAAATTCTGACCTGAACTCTTGGTTTCGTAGAATTTTAAACTCATCGATTGAATCTTTTATTATCCACCCAGCTATCTGAAGGGCGATACCATGTCATAGAATGAGAAAATAGAGTTCTCTAAGAATGCATGCTAAAGGGCTTACGTTTTCTTCATTCCTCCCAGCCATTCACCTTTCTCAGCCTTTTCATCATTCACGAGCTTCATGATTCAAGAGCCCCACAAGAACACACCCTGCAAATAGTTCCTGGCTACGTCCCTGGTGGGGGGCACTTATTTTATGGGTCTTTCCCTTCTTATGGCTTTTCTTGAATAGCGGTGGGGCCACGTGCCCCCGACGTTAAAAATGCAGGCAAAATAGCTGCTTCACCTTTGCATCACCCAGCCAAGACCACAGCTCAAATCATGCTTATACACAGCTTTCTCAACGATCAATTTACCGCCATGGTGCAACATAATTCCAAATGGTGAAAAGGAATAAGTTATTAAAACAGACGAGTGACGACCTCTAAATGGAGATGCTGTCACCTTGGGCTTTAATAGTTACGCATTTTTAAATTGAAGCCGTTAACACGCCAGTTGAGCAATTACCTCGTTTTGTCTGGCTGTTCTTTCACTGGGATATTCCAACATTCAACTATTGAACTTTATCAGTGGGAAAAATAGCAAAAAATCATATCCCAATAATATCACTTTATTTCTGACCACACACTCCAGGCAGATCGATAATGTTTGAAATCTTTATAAACCCAATATATAATCTCCGTACAAAAATCAGAAGTCTTATTTCCCCCATTTTTGAGTCCCTGGGCATAAGAAACACCTCGAAGGGGGCATTGGGTCCCTTACCCCCAAGGGAAATATCGAATAAGGCAACGAAAGAGCAGTCTCACAAAGTGTACCCCTCTTTACAACTCCGTCACCTATGGCAACAAAATGAGTGACTCATTCGTAGAGCCACAAGTAAGAACCATGTACATGCAATTTTGTGCTTGCAATCCAAAATGCTCACAAGGATATCTGAATAACTGTCAATTAAAGGAAGAAAAAAACTCATGAAAACAAACACTCTGAACATTACGACTTGAGCTTTTCTGTTGCAGTACAGCTGCAGATGAAAGAAAAATGGCTGAAAAAATTCATGACACTCAAACATGGGAGGGTGAAATCAAGGTACATAAAGGGAGGAAATTTTTTCAAAAATGCGGAAGACATTTTTTTGCAAGCTCCTCTGGGCTTTTCACAGATGATCAGAGAAACTGCTGATGAAGAATGTATGCAGTATGCACCCTCACAGGAATGAGGGTTTCCGTACGCACAATATTTCCATGAGTTCTACCAATAACTCGTCGGCCAGGGTCCGTGAGCCGGTCGTCGTCATTGCAGCAAGCAAGTGATGAATAGGGTTGAGTCATTTCCTTTGTTCATTAGCATCTTCACAAAGGACCATTGTCACAGTATGTCTCTTAAAATGGGTACTTATGCAGAATGAATCAGCATCATTGCTGGACAGAATCACTCCACAAAAAAACACAATCTCTCCCAAGTGGTTTCCAGGCATGCACTCAAACTGATCAGATGGTGAGACAGATTGTGAGTGAGATATGGAAGAATATCAGGTCTAATTTACAAAAACAAAGGAAAAAATTCCCAGGAATACCGAAAAAAAAAGAGGGGCGCTGAATCTAGATTCGCCGATGGCTGCCCCAAGCCCCACCAGGAGTGACAGGGGCTGCTGAAACATCCCCAAATGATGGAAAATCTTCATTGGACTTCATGTCAGGGGCAGGTGCAGGACCTTGCTCCCATGGGCCACCCTTCACAACAAAGCTCTTTGAATCTCCCTTCGGGGTGTCATCATCAGCATACCGAGATGGCCTGTAGTACATCTCGCTGTCAGTCACATCTTGCAACTAAAAGGCAAATATGCAGAAAATGATCAATTTCAGCAACAACCACATTAAATGTCCTCACAAAAACTCACAAATTCTTCTTCAAGATTGAGCAAATAGTCCTTAGCTTCCTGAATGTCTTCCTCATGGCCCATAATGACCACACGATTAGGATCAGTGTCTTCCTGTCGAGGAAAGCGAATGTCCACTTTGAATTGCTCCATGATGCGTCGGATATTGCGACCACGCTGACCAATCAAGCGTGAATGCACACGGTGGTCAATGCTTACTTCCTCCTCTTTCATTTCTCTCTGTTTCCATCACCCACAAACCAATTAGTTCATAAAATCTCACCGGAATCCTTAATGTACCATACATTTTATAACCAGAACTATACCATGTCATTGACCATCTTCATGATGGCATCAGAGGCAGCATGGGCCTTATCTTCATATCCTGTGATGATAATCACATCTGGTTCATCTTCTTTTGTTTGCATGTTTGGGAACTGGATGTTCACTCCATAGTCATCACGCAACTTTGTCACTGTTGCACCTCTTCGTCCAATGATCTTTGGGTGGTATTTGGCCTCCACATTCATCTGAAACATGATGCACACAGATCACAAACTCAAGCATGACTAATTGGGGATACTACAAATAAAGGGGGGAAATTTTGCCCTCAGCTCTCATAATCTTGGCACATGGGCCACCTTCCCCTGCCATATTTGGGAATCATCCATGAAACCAGAAACTGAGGAAAGAGCAGTCAAGCCAGATGAGCAGTTAGAGGATATTCCTTGACAGAGTAGTCTGAATTGAGTTGAATGGAAGGATCAGACTATTTCAAGCCAGCCATGGTAGGATTCCAACTAAAGCACATCACCTGGTCTCAGCCTCGCCTTGGGCATAAATGACCGTGGCAAAGGCGTCTCAGACAACAATATGATTTGCCAAGCCGTTCTCTATTCCCCCACTCCCGTGATTGACGGGACCCCCGTCTAGAGGGTAGATGGCCTTTGTCTCAGACCTTCCCAAGGGCAGAAGTGAAGGGTACTGGGTGAGACCCTGGACGTTGCCCCTTGCCTTCCCTTGTCGAGGGAATCCCCACCCTCTGAACCTGACTGCATAATTCTTCAGCACCAGTCCTTTCCAACCCCCATGGCATGAGACCGGCCTTGCTAAGGCATTTTATCATCATTGGGCCAAAGATACAATCTTCATCAAAAGGGAAGAAAACACAAACCCTAAGCTCATAACTGCGGGCTGCACGATCTTCCTTCTCTGCATGCAATTGCTTCACCTTCTCTTCCAAAGCTTCCTTGGCACGTTCAACATTGGCTGGAGGCCCCGTCACCTGAAAGGTGAGAGGAATGAAGAGTAAAAGTGTGACACAAGCAAATGCAATAAGGTCTACAATATAAATACAAAACAAACTTTTATCGTGTCAGCATGATCCTTTGCAGGTGGGACAGTAATGTTGACATCATACTTCATCATCATGTCTCTTACTTCCTTCCCTTTGAGACCGATGATGAATCTGTGAAAATCAAATGGCACTGGAACCTGCAAAGCATAAGAAACAAAACATGCTTTGTCAGCAAAACATAAATCAAACTAAGAACTATATGCAATGCGTTGGAGTTTCTAACAGTGGATCCCCAGTGGATAATGATTATCAAAGGCTTTAATTGAAACTCAGCTAGAGATTTAGCATGCTCATATTTTAAAAATCTGAAAATGCAGAAACCACCTTCCACAAAAGCCTGATCACTCCACCCTGCAGTGTTCCCTCCTGCAAACTGTTTGTAGGAAACCTCCATTCAAATATTTTTCTCCATGTAAAATATTCTATCAAGCTTCTAGGGACTAGAAATGGAGAATCTCCTCCCCCTGCCTTTGCTTGTCCCCCCTTGCATTACACCTCATGAGAAGACTGCTATAATGAATTTCTTAATCTGAAAATAGAAACATTTGCAAATGTAAACTTATATTAAGGAATCCATAGCAAGTGCTTATACTTCATTCCTTGAAAAATCTAATGCTTGGTGCACTATAGCAAGGGAAGAAAGGGGTCAAGTATTGTCAGTCTGGTACAACTTGATATAGATTTCACAGGCAACTGAAGTGAACCCACATGCATTATAATCACTTGACAACCAAAGACTCACATCAATAACAATGGGGATGCATTCAAAAAGGGCTGCCTTAGCCCTCTCACAGTTCTCCACCTTCCCTGTCACCTTGATAATGTCCCGAGGGAGTGGTTCCTTAGAATCTATGACCCCATTCATCTCTGGAACTCCTTCCTCTCCATTGGCTGTAGGGGTGCAAATGAAAACCTTTCATGATATAGATGGTTTAGAATATGAACAGCATATATTAAGCAGCAAGTTTCTTCAGCAATGGAATAGGACAAATGCCACACAAAGGGTTCGACAGGGTTAACAAAATCATCATTGAAATTCAATATCAAACAATATTCAAATCGTGTGGAGAAGTAGGAATGGTATCTTACCAACTTCACGCTCGGGGAACTTGATTCGGACATCAAATTCTGCCTCTATTGCCTGGACCTTAGAGCCCTTGGCTCCCATGATGGTACGATGATGACGCTGAGGGATCTCACATTCCATTGTCACCATTTGTTCCTGCATGCCAATGTGCAAATCACAATTCCAAACCTGACTGAATGCATTTTGCAAGTCTGCAAAAGACAATCAGCAACCGCAGGTTCCAACTTGGAACACCATCACCATATATCAAGTGAGAGATAGAATCATCATAACCAAGATAAGTATTGATAGAATGAATACTGAAAGACAAACCAGATCAGATACTATCTCCAGAATGCGCTGCTTAGCTCCATCAACACATTCCTTGGAACCCTTGAGAAGAACACGGTCGTGGGTCTCATTGGCTCTAGGGAATGATATTATGACCCCACCATAGTTCTCGCTGATTTCCTGCAGGACGGCACCTCGTCGAGATGTGAAGTGGCGGTGATGCTTTGCATCCACCCGTACCTCCTCCTCCACTACTGTGTCCTACCAAGATATTTCTTCATCAGCACTTGCAACTCTAATGTTCTCACGAAAAGGTGGATAAGATGCAACTTAGTACTAATGAAAGCCTAAATGTGAAAGCAATACTGCTCATGAATTAGGGCTTCAAATACTATTCAAATGTTCAACTCATGGAAGTATTAAGGGATGAAAAACTTTGAAATCACTCTTCAAATCTCCACCTGAATGATTTATTATTGCAAAGCAGTGCAGACTTGTAAAAGTAACCTATGCCACTGTCAACAGTTATAATCAAGGAGCAGATTGTATGAAGTCAGTTGTAGCAGGGCTTAGGCTGCAGAGCATGAATAGATTACACCCTTAACTAGTTCATAAACACCAAAGCACATCTCAGAAAACAAGTTGTGAAATTATCACATTCTGCCTACTCATGCAGTAATTGAACTTTCATATCAAGCTGAATGGCCATTATCACTTGTTCAACAGCAGAAGAGCTTAGTACCACATGTGGCCCCAAGATACAGGGTGGTATATAAATACCTCCAGAGTTGCAAGAGGAAATAAAAGATTCGTGACAAATGGCTTCCTACTGATAACTACTCCCATGTTGGCCTGGGCATGCGGAAATTCTAGGACAATCATAGGTGCAAAGGTGTCCGCCATCAAGCTCGAAACATTTTCACGCACAGTCCATTACATCGCACAACACGACAGGCACAGCAGCAACTTTCTCCCATTTGTGATTTTCCAAAGCCTCCGAGGTTGCAGGGTTGGTGGAGTGATCGGCCTGAACTGTTTCAAGGATGATAATGGCGACACAATCACGATCAATGCTGTACTCTACATCCAAATGTTGCAGTCGTTTTTGGATGTGTAGATTCATTGATGTGGCCTTCCTCTTGGAATGCAGTTCCAGTAGGATAGGGCAACGGCCCACATTGCCTGGATAAGCATGAATTTCCTCTGCAGGATCTTTCCTGGGCACATGATATCCAGGTAGGGGGATCTTCATTGATCATTGCAATCGCTGGACCTAACAGCTGATTTTTCTGCGGGGCTATCTGATGAGCAAGGAATGAACACACACCCTGCAACCTTGGAGGCTTTGGAAAGTTGCATATGGGAAAAGTAGCCGCTGTGCCCATCGTGATGTTGCAGCATGTTATGCACAATGTAGTGGACCATGTGTGAGAATGTGCCAAGCGCGATGGCATCAACCTTACTGACATCATTTTCCATGTGTGACCCACCTATGTGATTGTCCTAGAATTTCCACATGCCCAGGATGCCATGGGAACATATTTTAGCATGAAACAGTTTTCATGAGTCTTATTTCCTCTTAAAACCCCCAGAGGTATTTATGCACCACCCTGTATATCCTTTACATACATTTGCCTAGGTATGCCTTTCATAACTTGGACCTAACATACTAGATGAGTTCAATGAAGGACCCACCAGTTCCTTGATCAGCACTTCAAGTTCAGCCTTGGCTTTCTTAACTGCTTCTTCCCTTCCTATAATAGTGATGACCTCCCGATCTTCATCTTTCTCAGTTGGGAATATGATCCTGGCTCCAGTACTATCCCTCACCTACAAGGGTAAAGCAAAAACAGACAAAGCAATTTCATGCATGCAATACATCCAACATGAAAATACTGCACTTCAGGCAGATGGCCATATTCAGGATTCAATTTAGCAATGATAGCTTCATCTCCATGGATCGGTTCGGCGAGCTAATTCATCATTTATGGCACCTCATTTTTTGGATTAATGTAAGAACTTCTTTGGCATGAAAGAAATTAAAGATTTAGTACAAGTCAGAGTGAGCTGGTCTTACCTTGCGAATATTAGCACCATGTCGCCCAATGAGGAACTTGTGTTGCTGAGGTTTGGCACGAACTTCAGCAGTATAATTCATGAGCTGTCTTTCATTGCTCATTTCAATAATGATTTTCTTGGCCTTTGCCACCTCTTCCTTTGGTCCACGAATGGTCACCTTGTCAGAGGAAACATCTGATGGGGGGAACTTTATATATGCTCCACCACAATCTTGGGATATGCTTTGAATCAACTTCCCACCAGTCCCAATGATGGCATTGTGAAACTTCTGTGGTACAATGATATCTACCTGAACCACATTGTCCTATAAACAAAGTAATGAGACAGTATACCAAAATTCTTCCTTCATAAGGATGTAAAAAAAAATAGAACAGAAGAATACCATGTCATTCTGGATTTTCTGAATCATGTCTTTTGCTTTTTCACAGTCCTCTTTCTTGCCTGTGATGACAATCTTATCACTCTCGCTCTCATCACCTGGAATCTCAATCCGGGTATTGGTCTCCTCTCGGATCTGTGAATGTCACCAAGTATTGTTTGCACTAAGTTTAAACACCAAGAGGAAACCATGACCAAGATGCAATTTCATGCAGACAAGTCTGCTTTAATCAATTACAGGAGCAACAAGGGTTTGCTCAATAAAAACATTTGGGTTCTTGAAGTATCAGATAACCTTGCAGATATCAGACAAAAAGAGAGATTCAATGTTTTGTTAGACTGACAAACCTTGCAGATGAAAGCAAAACAGGTCAGTATAACACACCTTGCGTATATTGGCACCACCCTTCCCAATGACAAATTTGTGGAATTGCTTGTAGATCTGGACCTCCACTTGAAAGCTACTGTCCTCCATCTCACGGCACACCTTTCGTAGGTGGCTGTAGCATGCATCAACGTCATCTTTTGGGCCTCGAATCTTCACAATCTCACTTGCCACACCTACACAAATGATTTGCTAATTATGTACAGCAGAGACAGAATTCAGACCACATACATCTAGTCTAGTGATGTGATGGGGAACACCTAACATTTCAAGGCATTGTGCAAGAATGGTGTCACACCCCAGGATGTCAAATTTTATCTACTTCCCCACCCCAGAGGTTGTGTTAAACATCCCTTTGCATTACCAGGTGAGACAAGAGCAGCAGGCACAGTTGAATGTGGCTCTCCAAACATGTATTCTCCGAAGAGAACGAATGAGGAAAGCTTCCTTCATAGACATTAGGCAGTTGTAATTAGTTCTTATCCATTCACAATCACATCACTGTTCAAGGACTGCACCCCTAGCCATGAGCCATCAAGGATATCACTTCTTTCCAATTGGACACTGCCAAATACTAAGTTACAAGTTTTGCAGCAGTAAGCATATCTTGAGTTTAGGGCATGACTAGACAGTTTAAGGAACCCATAGGCCTTAATCATATTGTCCTTAAAAAGTGTAGTTTTCACCTCAAACTTGGCAAAATGCAATAAATCATGCAGATATAGGTTGAGATCAGTGATCAAAAAGAATCATTTAGATATTTGACTATTTCAACTTGACTGACATCAGGTATTGATAAATTTTAAAAGAAAGGCACTCAATTTTGCATCTAGATATCTCCAAAACCAGTGAAAATGCTAAGTTTAGCAGGATGAATATGCATAGTTATTTGATTGAAAATAAAGAGGGATATGGTCCATACCTATGCAAACAAATGTATTTACCCAATAAGGTAATGCAATGGCCAAGGAATGAGTAAATTTAGTGCAGCACCCAGTATTTATAGTCAATGTACACTCAAAGGATTGTTGGGGATTAAATCGGATCCAAGAGACCATATGGAAGGTTCACCTTGGAACGGAGAATCCCACATTTTTCTGCCTGTGTGATCTACACATGGAGGGAAAAAGCACCTCTACGTGGATTAATTCCACAGGCCTCCTATAATAATGGCTAAATGGTCCTATCCATGCCTTCAATACATGTTGAAATTTGGCAATATTAAATACCATATTCTCATAAGTCAGCCATGCAAAGGCTAAAATGTAATAAATCCCAAATAGTGACAACCAAGGGATTTTAGGAAATTTCAAAAGGTACCAACATGTTTGTGAGCAAACTTGTAAGCTATCCTAAGAGAATGGATTGGGAAAGTGGAACAGACATTCTCTCTCAGAAAGTTTGTAGTCTTAAAGAAATTCAAGTGACCACATGGTAAACCAATAGCATTCCATGATAAATGCTATTCAATTTTACTTCAGGACCAAATAGGAGATAAGAAGTCTGGAAGGGGCCAAATGTGCAGGGATCATGGTACCTGGTGCAGGGAAGGTGATCTGGACATTGTTGAAGCGATCCCTAGTCTCCCTGATATTTTCTCCCTTTGAGCCTATGATCTTGGGATGAAAGCGCTGGGGGATGATGATGTCTCGCTCCTTTTCATTCTGAATTTTTTCAACTAGTTCCTTGAGATCCTTAACAGCCCGTTTTACACCATCCCGACTCCCTTCAATCAGTATTTTGTTCAAGGTCTCTCCATCTGGGAACCTGATGAACACTCCTGTTTCCTGCTTGATTCGATTCACTGCAAGAACCAAAAATTCAGATCATTCACACACAGTAAGTATAAGGGTGAGATTTGTGGGAAGAAACTTGAAGACAATTGTTTTCCTCAATGTCTCATTCAGAAAGTTACTCCCACATTTCTCTCCCTGTGCGTATCTCCATGGAGGCAATGGATAAATGTCCCTCATGGCTTGATCACAGGAAACATTACTTTCAAGTACTGATTGTCAGATACGAAATCTCCAAACCAAAATCAGCTGTGGGAGTTCCAAATAAAAAATTCCTCTTGTCGGAATCGGGTTGTCTTAGCAATGTAGCAGTAACAATACAAGGAACATTCCATAGTTGAGCACTGATGTCAGACATGGCCAAAAGGGTTCCTAGCCATCAGGCATCCATGGCACCCATGTGTCAACAAAAAGCAAATGTGACTATCATAATTGGACTTGCCATTGGCACCCTGCCGTCCAATAATGTGACGATGAAAACGAGTATCAACTTCAAGCTCTTCAAAAGTAAGACGCTGCTCCAGATCTTGAATTACAGCAGTCAACTTATCCTCAATCTCATCCACTTCTTTTGGAGGGCCTTCCAGTTGGATTTTGTCACCTTCATTGAATTCCACATGTACCTGTAAGGAGACCAGCAAGCAAAAATAATGTAACAAGGAACAGAACACCATGATATTCAAGAAGAAAAATCTTACTTTCGGATTGTCCTGCGTCAGGTTTCGTATGTTGACACCTTTCTTTCCAATGATATATTTATGAAGCCAAGCAGGAGCCTTCATCTCAGTAGACTTGACACTGTTAGCCTTGGAATAGACCATTGTCAATGCTGCAATATAAAAGCAAGCAGCAATTATGAAACTACCAAGCAACAGCAAATGTTTAAATACATCCTGAAGTGACTCAGTTGGCAGAAGAACTGCAGCATAATTATTTGATAACGGGTTCATCTCAGAAGAGGGAGCCTGCCAATGTATGTACTCATCATAGTCAACACTTTTTATATAAAATATTTAAACAAAGCACACACCTGGTCCAAGCTTTTCAGGAGGTCCTCTTAATGTGATTGTCCCTGATGGGGACTCCTGGGGTGGCATCTCTACACTGACTCCTGTCTCACCCAAGATCTCTGCTATGGTGTTGCCTTTGGGTCCTATGATATACTTGTGCTGAGATTTCTTTACCTCCACAGAAACAGTACTACAATGTCGCTCCTGCAAAAAGAAATCAATGCTCAGCTCAAAAGACCAAGACAGCCAGGATAATATGAATTTTATAAGGAGAGGTGAAAATCCCTTACGATTTCTCGATAGGCCTTCTGGATGGCCTCAACCACCTTCTTCACTGCTTCCTTCTCCCCAGCTACAGTGAGCTCATCCTTCATCACTGACTGAGGGGGAATATTGATTCGGACACCCCAAGCTTCCGTTAGCTTGTTCACCTTCTCACTGTGTGCTCCAGCGATGAATGGATGGTATATTTTTGGAATGTTCAATCTCTCGTATGCCTGTTTTGACTGCAAAGACGACATTATTTTTCCATGTTATCCATTAGGTAATTTTTGGGAAAAAATGACCCAATCTTACTTGCTCATCTGAAATGACTCTGATCTCATGAACTGCCTTCTCAATCCCTTCTCGGGTCCCCATAATTCTCACTTCACCTGATGGGTTCTCTGCTTTTGGGACACTAATCTTTGTGGCTGTTGCCTTCTCAAGATCCTGAAGCTTCTTTCCATTCCGACCCAAAATGAATCGATGATGCTCTTTTGGTATTTGTATTGTTACATTAGCCTGAAGAAAAAAAATCAAGCATGGTTGTATTTATAACAGCCTTATTCTGTAGCAAACCTAAAAGGAGACCTGTTAAACATACTTGTGTTTGAAATGCTTCAAGAATGCGACGCTTGGCATCCAAGACATCCTTATGCTTCCCGGTTACAACAAATGTGAGAGAGTCATCCTTTCCATAAGCAACTTCCAAATGTGCTCCTGTCTTCTGCATGATTTCCTGACATCTCTTAGCTTGGCTGTCTCCTCCAAAATCCTGTTCATCTCGTCTGCGTTCTTCTACTGGTACATGAAAAATCTGCATTGGAAGAAAACACAATGACAAAAGCCCAGATGCATGACAGGAGTCAAAGACTACAACATATTCATTTAGTTCACCTGAGTTGTCACAGATGATCCAATGCGAAGAGTTCGGTTCCACTGGTTGTTGACATCAGCCGGATTCCCTGTGGGAACAGAGGCTTCCGGCAGAGCAGGGAACACTTCATCATATGAGTAAATGGGTGAATGGGGTTCATACGGTTCACCCCCTTCCACCACTGCTTGCTGCAATTGGGCTTGGTCCATGTCCGTGCCTGGTCGTTACAGTACCACTGAAAGAAGAAAAAAAGTTTCACACTGATGTCCTATATTTGGTCTACGTAGTAGGTGCATACATCCACTTCTTCAAATCATTAACTTACATCTGAAAACATAGTAACCCACTTGTACATCACTGTTCATTATGGTAATACAAATTAATCTACCCAAACATGCTTAAAAAAAAAAGGCCATTTCAAAACTGCAAGTGATCAATGGAAAAAAAAGTTGCAAATTGACATCTCAGCAAACATGTCAATCAACAAAAATACCTAAATGAAGGAATAGTTATTTCAATAAACATTAAAAATAAGTTACAAATACAAAAAGTAAAATTTATGATCACTCCAAGTGGATGAAATGCTAGGGAAAGCAAGTCATCTTGCAGAATTAAATGAAAATTGAGAACAAAAATTGCTTTATATACATAAAATACATTATAAGAAGATCGTACATTAGCACCAAAGTCCTGCCAATTTGACTTCAGTTATTAAATTTGATGAACAAATGTTCTTGGCAAAATTCACAAATTATCAAACGAGAAAATAGAGATATACAAGGTCTAGGTTGAGATCAGTGATAAAAAAAACAATCTTTTAGATATTAGACTATTTCAACTTGACTGACATCAGGTATTCTGATAAATTAAAAAAAAAAGCACTCAATTTTGCATCTAGATATCTCCAAAACCAGTGAAAATGCTATGTTTAGCACTTGCTACTTGTCTGCTATTCAAGTTTACTTTAGAAGGCAAGCTTTTACTTGCTCTGCCACAAAATCAGGATAAATATGCAGTCATTTAAATGAAAATAAAGAGATATGGTCCATACATATGCAAATAAATGTATTTACCCGATGAGGTAATGCAATGGCCAAGGAATGAGTATAAATTTAGTGCTACACCCAGTATTTATTAGGGCTGTCACGATAGATCGATGCATCAATACCACTATTGATGGTTGGAGGTATCAATAGTTTTTTCGACCATCACGATGTATCAGCAAAAGATTTAAGGGGAAATGCCCCATTGGATGGAGAATACAGTACAGTACAATACAGTCCATCTGCGTGGGAAAGAAAGAGGCGGTGGGACCCGAATGGGTGAGGAATTTCTTATCACGATCTAATTCTGAAAATGCTGGACTGACTACATGGAAGATGGGAAGGAAAAAAGTTTGGATCGGAGACAGGAAGTGGGAAAAGAGGGAGGAAAGACAGAATAATTTTAAATCTTCTGTTTCAGTTTTCAGCTTGATCTCAAAAGGTGCATGCTGTGAAAGTGGACTGTTCTTGTACTCCCTTGATTTTGAAACGCACATTGGTGGTATTTCCCCCTCGCTATATGTTTCGGGAACTGCTGATATGGCGGCACTATCAGCAGGCTTCCTATCTGCCGGTGCTGATGTCCAAAGAAGACCATGTAGAATGAAGAAAATGAAAAAAAACCTTACAAGAATGGGCTTGGCAACTGATTCTCAGTGGCAATAATAAAAAATTAGGGCTGTCCTGAGGCATCCATCAATGAATGGACATCATCCTCTATATTTGGAGACAAGGTAGGTTTTTCATTACTCGTTGCAAAGGTCACACCTCCCTCCAACAGCCCCCCCCCCCCCATCACAAGCGTGAGATTATGGAAGACAGATAAAGATCCGAAGTTCTGTGCTCTGATGAAGGCAAGAAAAGATTGAATCCTCTGGCACACTACCCCTCCCCTCCTTCAATGCACTGATTCACTATCGATAGTTTAGGCCGATGCATCGATGTCTTGAAAACTGCTATCGTGACAGCCCTAGTATTTATAAAGTCAATGTACACTCAAAGGATTGTAGGGGATTAAATCGGATCCAAGAGACCATATGGAAGGTTCACCTTGGAACGGAGAATCCCACATTTTTCTGCCTGTGTGATCTACACATGGAGGGAAAAAGCACCTCTATGTGGATTAATTCCACAGGCCTCCTATAATAATGGCTATATAATGGTCCTATCCATGCCTTCAATACATGTTGAAATTTGGCAATATTAAATACTATATTCTCTTAAGTCAGCCATGCAAAGGCTAAGATGTTTCCTTTCAACCAAGGTGAAGAATATTCAGTATCACAAATTTGCAAAGCTTAAATTAAGTTGCTTCTATAGTTCAAGGAGTTTTTGAACTTGAAGAAATTGACAATAGAAATTCTGCAAAGGCCAAAACCAATCTCAGATGCTAATTCATCCACTCTTGAGATGACACCCCCTCCAATGGGACATTTGTAATGGGACGAGCTGTGAAATCAATCCAAACAGAAGCAGGGGAAAAACTCACTGTACTGTATTCCCGTGAAATCTGTCCTATAGGAAGTATCTGCTAAAAGCAGCCAGTTTGACCTGAAAATTAAAAGGGAGAAGTTAATCTCAATCAGTGCATACAAAATGTATAGCTTTGCAAATATGCTGAAAGCACACTTTTACACTATCCTGTTTCCCTGGCTTTGTCATATTTGACAGGTGTCACATGGCAATAAAGGGAAGACTAGACCTTGGCTGTTAACATAGGTTTTCATTACTTCTAAGACCTGTTACTTGAAGCAATTGAGCATCTTAGGATTCTTATGAACCACCCCACATAAGAAGCCTCCATCCAAAAGAGCCAATCACATGTAAATTAAGCAATGGTGATGATTAGTATAGGCTCTAGTAAGGTAAAACAAAATTGCACATTGTTCATGTATTGATAGTTTACTATACTTGTTCTTCACTCCAGCCATTTGGACTAAGCTCAGACTAATGACCACAACCTCACCAATGTTGGTGACAGGAAAGCATCAGGGAAGGAAAAAGTGAACTATTGGTCCTCAATGGATTGGAAAGCATAAGTACATGTACAAGCCAAGAAATGTATCCCATTGCTCATCCAAAAATTTTTTCGAAATGTTATTTATTTTCAGGTGTTTATAACTGAATCAAAATGCTTCAATATTTAGTGCAGGAGTGAGTATGGATAGTAGAGCACAATTTCCACAGATATGGTGCTGGTTGGGGTGGATCATCTTTGGAAAATTTGAAAGAAACAAGAACATTGAGAAAAAATGCTTCAGATAAAACAATCTTATAGATTAAGTTTTGTGGAACTGGATTGGTGTGCAATCATAATGCAGGCAAATCAAGCTAAAAGTAAAATGTCTGTACTAATGAGAACACTGGGAGAGTTCTGGATAAGGTGCTATGATCACCTCATGAAAGCAAACATCAAATATCCAAGGAACTACTAATTGAGGGAGTATTATTCATGTGTACCAGTACCATAACTACAAAAACAGTGCTCTATCCATACTAACTCCAGCACTGAATACTGCAGCATTTCAGTTCAGTTAGAATAGATTGAAATTAAAATTACCAAATCCCCAGACTATTTCATGCTCAAATGAAGCTCACTGCATTAAGGACCATATACAAAACAAAGTGCCACACTGCAACCACCATGTGGTTTTACTTCATGAAGTGCTATGGGAAATGAGTGGGAGCTTCCCATGACATTGTAGTAGGCTTTGCAATGGAATTGGATGCGATTACTATCATGCTTCAATAATGGACCAAGAAGTGTCAGGTTTGGTAAGGGTCCCTTCAATGAACCATTCATTAGAAATTTAATTATAACCTTAACAGCATATTAGGACCATATTGCATACAAAAATGGCAGAATCCCCTACTTGCTCAAGACATTCACCTGCTGGGTTTCCAAATGTCAGATTTTCCATGTTTGGCTTCTAAAAGGGCAAAGACAAAAAATTGAAAAGGAATTAAATGTCTTCTGCAATGATATAACCCTTGATAACCTACATAAGGCCTAGCATGGGCTTCCTTCAGTTTAGATGGAATGACTTGAAAGTTGCAACCAATATCCACTTTCACACAAGCTTTTCCATCAAGAGTGCATACATTGAAAAACTAAGTGACTAAGTGCTAGGCAAACCTTCAACTTTCAAGTTAATATGGTTACACAATACTTCTGCAGCACAGCATTGTCCACTGATGAGCATACAGCTCATCAATGGACAAGAAAAATGCATACTGTTTCAGTAAATGCAGCACTGCATCTGCAGTACTCCATGTTCTATTGGCACCTAAAACTTAGAAATGATTTCTTTTGTCTAGAATGTTGGACATCATTCTGCGGTCAGTTGATGGAAATTAGTAGCTACATATACTGGATATGATTCTGCAATACAGCAAAAGCATAAACTCAGCTTTATGCTACAAAAGCTTGACCAACAAATGAGATCAGCATACACACCCAACACCACACATTAGGTCACAGAATGAGCATGTTGTCATTTCCAACAGGTGCCAGTAAAGATGCTGAGTGGGCTGCAAGAAACACTAAATGAAACAGGCACTGACTTGGGTGTTGGAGAATAAGGCATGAATGCTAAAACTTTATGGATTCAAAGGACTTCTAGCATTCAACCATATAGATAAACTCTTATGGGTAAAAAAGAGCTATTTAGCTTAAAAGCCCCTTTTCCCTGGCAATAAGTTTCTGCATTTGGGCTTAAAGGATTTAGATTTTTAGTACTATTTTCTTCCCTTTTCCAAATGGCAAAAAAAAAGTTAATGAGTGATTAACATAGTAGCATTTTATCAATGTAGTACAGTTTAGTTAACTTTGTCAAAGTAGCACCTTCACTGTTTGGACCCTATGAAACAGACTGGGAATACTAGGTTTGTAATTTGTGCCATATTGGAAACCGTAAGGTCTGAAAGTACAACCTTCATTTAGGGAAGATCAAGGGTCTTTAACCCTTGCACACACCCTTATCACATCCCACATGACAAACAGCAGTGATGGCACAACAGGAGAACAAAGGGTTAAGCTAAAGAGCTCTTTTTCTCCTTTAGGAGTTCATGTCTTCTGAAAGAACCATTCACTAAAGGTTTCAGCATTAGGACGTAATAAAATTGTTTCTTGAAAATGTCCATTATCTAGGTAATACTTCAAAATATTTAGATGAAGTCTCAATATCACTCAAGATTTCTCTCAGACTATGCGATAAGGCCTGAATTTGACTTGTTCAGAATGAAAGGACTGGAGGGAAGAGTATGAGTTACCTATCAAAATAATGATTATTCAGATGTTTCTTCCCCCACTACTTCTTTAAACGATGCATGATGGCACTGTAGTAAAGAACATTGCAATAAGAATGCTATCATAAGCAGGCTCTTTGGTAACAAATGGGACATCTGCAGAGCAATGTTAAAACTCCTGCCTCGGGATACATAAAGCATACATTTTTAACAGTTCAACATCTGTTGCTTTCCAACCAAATAACCAAGAGACTTCAAAATTATCTTGAAACAAACTTTTGACTGTTTCCTGTGCAATACAATGACAGCACTTCAAGTATAATAAAGCCTAATAGTATAATAATGATCAGGATAAGCTTTTATTGCACCACCTGACAAGGTATTGTTCAGACAAAAAAAATACCAACAAAGTAGTTGCAAAGGTTTTAGACTACCCTTGCACTGCACTACCACTCCAAATGAATTGAGAAACTTTTTCCTGGCATGCATACATTCATGCACGTTTCGATAGATACCACTCCTTTGGATACTTAAACCATTCATTTAGGCATGCTCTTACCTTCAAAGTTCATCTTCTATATTCATTCAAAACCTGCACTTGACCACATTAAAACTTTTCCCAACACACACTCACCAGCTGGTCCCATAGAGGACTTTGTATACTCCCATGTACTCTCACCCAAGCATCCAAAAGGCCTGGCATTTTATATATTAGTCTGGAGGACCAGACTTCATTAGGAGGGATGTAAGGTGATGAAGGCAAGCCGGAATGTCCCGGGTTTTGTGGTGTAATGGTAACATACCTGAATAGCAATCAGGAGGCCCAGGTTCAATTCCCAGCTATCCCCTGGCTTTCTTTTGTCCTCTCTCATCTATCCAGCCTCCCTAACTTCAGTTCTTCACATCACATGCTTAACCGTAACCACTTCCCCATGTATTAACCCTTTGCACTCCCAATATTGCACCAGGTACATCACACAACTTCCACTACACTGTAGAAATAGAAGCACCATTCAATTTTGTCACAATTAATAGCTAAGTACTTTGGTATTGCGACCATCTGCAGCCCGATTGTTCAACTGTTTTTCTCCCAACCATTTCAGTTTATTCACAATTTCTCTTTTTTTCCATCTTGTTTTTCCAGAAGAAACACTTCTCAATGAAGCTATAGACGAATTACTCATTTGTGGTGGAGTACAAAGGGTTAATGGCTATATTGAACAAGTTCCTCCTGCCATTATTGGCATAATTGTCATCCTTGAGCTGAGGCTTTTTCACCATAGCTTCAATATTTAAGCATCAACACTAGCACAAGCACAAAAATGATCATGTTTTCCAGTTGACCTTCAATGTACTGCCACAATCAACATTAACCCATTCCTATGAACTAATCTCCCCAAAAACTTAAAGGGGATATGGCTAATTAAATAAAAGCCATTCTGGTTATCAATGAAACCAGTGACCAACAATGATAGCATATTGACTGTGTATGCTGTAGGCCTATGCCCCTCATGTTTCTCATTCTTGGAGGTTAGAGAACTTTCATGGAAATATTGGCTATGGAGCTGATATCAGTTACAACTCAATAGCAAGCATGGCTCTGATCAGGCAATGAAATGCCATGGTTCAGGTGTGAGATCAAGATGCCTTCATGCTCCATGTATCTCAATACACAATTTGGCTAAAGTCATTGATCACTGGTTAAGTTTTCCTTGGTTTTAAAACTTAGTTTTGGTTTAGAATAAAAGGTTACTTCTTGCTCAAGGCAACATGCTGGCATGGTTGACTTGGAGTCACTATTAAGGGTGGAATTATAATTTTTTGAGTGGACACTAGGAATATACGGAGGCCTACAGAGGCAACGATGGGGTGCATGTATTGGGCGGATGAATAGAGAATGAATGGGGATCTGAGTGAAGTTTCATGTTAGAACATGGGAAGTTGGCAGTTAGGGGGGGGCATTTTGGGTTCATAGAAACGCCAAGAAAGCTGTTAGGAACAGTCAGCACGAGTCTTGCCATTGAGACATTGGCAACTGGCAAGAGGTGTGAGACTACTGCCAGTTTCCTGAATCAGTATGGCTGCCACCATAGCAGGAGAGTGCATATAGATTTAAGAACCATTGCTTTTAATGTGAAATAAAGGCACCTTACTGACTTTATTCACTAAAATTAGAGTTCAGTATTTGATGTGGGAGGGTTACTTTTGCATTTCATCAGACTCTTCCCTTACTGGAGTTCACCAGCGATCATTTACCTTAACCCACAATTTGAACCAATATTACCTCAATTATCTAAGTCAAAACATTGGTAGCACTAGCACCCACCAAAGTTGAGTATAATAAATTATCCCAAAATCCTGTTGGTTTCAGGCACAATATTAACCAAGTTGTAAAATTTGAGCTCCAAATGAAGTACCAAATGCTAAACTACATCACACCTAGTTAGGCAAATTATTGACCTCCAATATCAATTCAGGCTGAAAACTTTAAACAACTTCTGAAGTAGGGCTGGTGTGAACCCCAAGGAATTAGTGTAGCACCCTAATAAGTAGGGAATTCTTTGCACAAACAAAATCCCATAAATCTTGGTGGGCTAAGTTAATAAGGGATAAGATATACGATACCATATGATATTAGTAAACCTACTGATTCTCATGAATTTGTAAACCAACCCCAACACACATGGGCAAGCCTGGCTTTTTTGTAAGCCCCAAAATCAAGGCACCACAATTCCCTTATTCATTCATTCTTCTATTCTCTCTCATCCAAAATGTACCCACTGTTTACATGTATTTGTTCTTACACTGCTTGCATTGCATGTGTTCCTTAAAAATAAAAAAGGGCTCCCTACCTCTCTCACTACACCAAAAAAAAACTCAGGACTTTCCTCTAAACTTATGTAGACATTGCCCTCTCTATCCTCGTTCATTGCTTGAAATTCTGTGCACAGACTGATTACCTTGTGGTTGGAAGGTTTCTTAGTTCCCTTGGATTTGGAATATAATACATTACAACTCATGGAGTTTTGACAGAGCCAGCAGGGAAATATGGAATCATCCCATTTGCTACCTCTTCACTGCTCTTATAAATTAAAGTTAACTCAATGATCATCTTCATAGAAATATCAAGCAAACATCAAAAAGACCACCTATCTGCTCGATGAGCCATTATGTCTCTCCTCTCTTCTAAGCCCTGTCATTTCTCTCCGACATTTTTTGGATTAATGAAAGGATTACTTTCAAGATTGCTTCTGAGGTTAGCAATAAGAGTCTAACAAGCACATAATATAGACCTCAGGAATCTTGCTTTCAAAAAAACTTCACAACACTTCTGATCATTTGCCGAAACTCAGTCATGGAAAAGATTGTGAAGATAGTACAAAAACACACAAATTTGAATGACAAACAGGTGTTTGCTGTCACACAGGGTTTGACCACTGGACCAATTCTTCTCAAGCGGAAATGAATTTACTACCCTCACACACATGCAAGTGCTGAATAAGCAAAGTAGAAATCTCCAGGATATAGGATGTTAAACAAGCCTCAAATAGGGGAGATGCGGGGGGCTTTTTAAATAGCAGAGATCTTTTCCCCATAAGAGTTAATGTTTTCCCAAAGGGGCGTTAAATGAAGTTTCGGCTTTAGGGCTTCGGCCTTCAAGGCCTACCATCGAAACCAACCGGTAGGTTACGCCATATCCAGGAGGGATGTGAATTTGCCTGTATGAACGTCCTGTCACGCTTAAACCACCCGAGAATCATCCGGTACGAAAGTGGCTCAAGGGTAAGACTATTAATATGACTTGAAATTTGATGGGAACCGTCCGGCCTGAACGTCGATTGCGCGTTTCAGCTTAACGTTAGGCCTCAGGTTGACAAAACTCTCAACGCGTGCAGTCTAGCAAATTTTCGTTCGAGAGAACTCAGACGCATAAAACTTCGGAACCTCGATATTTAACCACAGCAGAGCTGAAATGAAAAGCAAAAGGTCAAAGGAGAAAATGAGGAAGACTCACGCCACTTACCGGAAGGAATGTGACGTGACCTACATCCGGAGATGGAGGAACGCAGAGTGAGGTCTTCTCCAACGGGCTCAGTTCACACGTGGCAGACATACTGAAATCTAGATCTCCTTTTATTCAAAATTTCTCTTTGAAATTTGGGGTTATATACAACTTAAAATACTTTTAAATAAATCTAAAACTATAGGAAGCATTTACAAAGGGAAAATATGAGTTTATTTAAATATATTTTAACCTGCCAGGTAGGATATCTCGTCCTTCAGGGCGTAGGAATACCAGGCGTAAACGTGCCGTTGCCATAGAGCAGGGACAGTGAGAAGAGAGGGGAGATGGATTCAAAGTCTAGATTAGAAACTGAATTCTGGGTTCAGTATTCTAGGGTAGATAGCGAACTACAGTCGCTATCGTGTTCCATCCCATGCGAGACATATAGAACCCATTTTCGCGCCTGGATATCGAACTGTCCAGGATAAAATAGACTCCAAGCCTGCTGTGCAGGTTCGAGTTTCTGTTGCGAAGCCAGGTTGATTCTCTACAAGAAAGATGCACTGCTTGAAGCCTCATTTACATCCCTTAATCGGGCACCTTCGAGATTTGGGAGTAAATGTGAACTCACTTCTCGAGGCTTCCATCCTTTTGCGAATTTCGAGTGTTAAAATTTGGCAAATTCCAGAGGCCAATAGAAACCCTATTGAACCCTATCAAGGATTTAAGTAGAAGAGGCGATGTCCTCTCCGAACCTTTCCAACAAGATCGGGCCTCCGATTTTGAACCGGTTTCATACGGACGGGAGATTCTCAAGAGTTCACTATAAAAACTGGGAGGCAAATTGAGAACCGTTCAAATTCAAATGTATTCCTCTGTCCAGCTCATGTTATCCATGAGAGGAGAGAAAGAAACACTGGATTCAAAGAGAAGTGAAACGTACTTGTCGTAGCCTCCATGCTTGTGTTACTCTTAGAACCTGGAACTCATACAGTTACTGGGATTTCTCCGATCAACTCCGTGCGCAACCGTGTCATTCGTATAAGACCGTCAAGTATATCATCAGTGATGATTCATTACCAACATTACTGAATTGGAATTTCCGGCAAGACTAAAAGGTGAGCCCATTCCCCGGCTTGTTCAACCTTGCTGTTCACGCCAGTCGTTACAATAATTCGTTCCTCGGATGAAAAAAAACTAGCTCAAACTGGTTGAGGTGGGTGTAAAGAACTGCAGATGACTCTGGCAGTGCCCAAGTAGAACGTTTGAATGATCCAGTACAATCTGAAATTAACTTTATGCACAATTATTCTACTGCCTTATCACAAGCCTTCGTTGTCTCAAATCTCCCCTCCTGTTCGGAATTACAAAGTTAAAATTGCATTTTGCTTCTGAGAAACATAAAAAAATTAATGGTAGTAATTATACGCGCAATTACTTGCATGAGAAGATACGGCTAATTACAGAATCTACAGTCCTCAACGTCGCTCACCATAATCGTTTAATCGCTGCGAATCTTGCAAACTGTGTATCACTATTGCGCTGGCACGAGCAGAAGAAAAATCTGCGCCATAAGGTCAAGGCTATTGCCAAAAGTCCTCGTGTATAATATTCAGGGGCGGACCAATTTACGTTTCCGAAACCCATACCGATACTACTTCCTATGATACCCAACAGCCATACCGATAGCCGATAAACCTTAATCTGGACTACTTGATGAAGATTTTTTGGGGGGGTATTTACATGTGGGATATTTACCAAAATTAAACAATCTTGTTGCCTTGATGACTGATGCAGATCATTTTGGCTTGTAACATGGGAAATATAGCATAAACCTACTCATTCTCACGTATTTGAACTCTTTGCAAAAGTCACCTCAGAAGTCAAATCTCAGTCTCAGTCAAGTCACAGGAAGATTCCTAAATTTCGTAATGCCATACAGCAAAAAAAGATGGAATATGGTAATCTCACTCTTCAACACTGACGATCCAATGGTCACAGCAGGCTAACTCCAGCCTAGCGCAGTATTTCAAGTCTTACGCACACATCATGTAGGAAGAGTTGCAAAAGATCGCATCTTGTGCCTACAGACCTTCCTCGTACCCACCATGCGCGCTGCAGTCCCCTCCCTCCATTCTCACATTATCACCCTCCTTGTAACCCGCACGTATCCGCTCGCTGACGAGTGGAGTTCTGCTTTACTCTTGCAGGAGTAAGTGCCTCGGGCCGGGATCGAGACCCCGTCCTGTATCATTCGGAGTCATGAAACCCCGATTGATACAGGACTCGAAGTTTCCGCCAATTTTTGCCGTTAAGAGAAAAACTTTTATTTTAATAAAATAAAACAGGATGACTGTGATTCCACCCGAGAGGTAACCGTATACACAGGAACAAGCACGCAACAGTGTTCTATTGATGGAAGGAGAATAGAGGAAAAATTCCACCTCTCATTCCTGTCGTATCGGCATACTTTTACACCCGCTTTAACCCTTTCGTGCATGAATTTTTAAAGCAAAACAAAAATATGCCATTTATGGTTTAACGTTTAAGGAGGTACTCTGCCGTAGTAGTCCTTACAAGATGACGATCTTTCGTTGTGACTTGTCTATATGTGCCTTTGAGTTGACTGCACGCACCAAAAGTTTCGAGGTATGAGCACCGTGACTGAAAACTCATAATTATCGCCAAAAATTTTGCCGTCCACTACAGTGGACACCATGCACGAAAGGGTTCTTAACCTGCTTCCGCCCACCGTCCCATACATATGACAATTGCATTTAGTAACACAGCTGAGTCCGAGACCAGCGAGTTGTCGAGTGATACAATGTAGTGATAGTGACAAGCAACTGCTTGATAGGCGTGGACGTGCTTCTTTCTTATGTATGCTGTGAGCTGTAGTCCAATTCGTTTCGGAATTCGGAAAAATAAGGATTTAATTCTTAAATTAATAAATAAGGATTCAAAAGTTTATTTGGGACAAAAGGGGTTAAGGCGTCATTCACACAGACACATGTTTCGCTTGGCGACGCATCACGCGCGAAAGTATTAACTACGGTACAAAAGTTTCAGTTGCAAGACCCGTCATATTTAAAATTAGTTGAATTAAATTTACTCAATTCTGCTAAGCTATTGTCTCAATGTGAAATGAAACAGATTGTCTCATTTCAACATCGACGGACAACATTGTTAGAGCGTCGAATCCTGTTGTGTCGAACCCTTAGTATATTCCTCCTCTCTCCGTCCTCAGGCATTCAATCAAGACTCGTTTGGCAAGATTACCTCTTCCTTCAGATGTATTGATGTATTCCAATGTCTTCCCTTGTGGCTTCTTTGGGGGAGAGTACAGTGTCAAAAGTATTGGTGACTTATTCCAGTTACGCCTTAAAGTAACTTGCTGCATCGCTATTTAAGCGCCATCTAGCCTCAGTAATCGGAATCATGTTTGTTCGAACAACTGCCGTTAGGTTCGCCCAGACATCATGTTGACGCAAGAATGACACGATTTTGAGTGTTCGACTGGAACAAGGCATGAATTCAATATCCTCGCAATAATGAGACCGAGTCAATCTTGACCTTGTCTATCTATCTGAACAATCGACAATAATATTTCATCAACATCTTCAACTAATTGTAAACAGTGAATCAATATTATTATGCAGGGTGATGATGATGCAAGGATGAAGGGAGGGGACTCGCACTTAAACCTAAACGAGCTATTTCGTCTGCTCATCTAGTAGCAACTCTGCAACCTTCCTACCCAAACTTGTAACAAGTTGCAAATTTGTGCATACTTTGGCAAATATTGGCCTAATTGGCCAAATCCATTCAATGCAGAGACTTTATGAGCACCCTGTAGTTCAAAGAACCCACGACAGCACGTTATGAAATCAGATTTGTTGAAGATAAACCGATGTTTGTTTTCGTTCCCCTTATACTGTAGTAGTGAATAAAAGGGGGGAGGGGAGAGATAGGATGTAACTCACGTCATTTCTCCGACCAGTTCTTTTCTCTGTCTTTCACCGGAGGAGTGGACGCATGGGAAAAATCATGGGACAGGTAGATACGAGAGGTATGCACTACGGTCATGACTCATGGCGGAGACATGAACGCATAGGTCAATGCACTTGAAAGGTATGCACTAGAGAAAGTTTGACATCTCTAATAGAGCCTGAGCATATACTTCCAAGGAATACCTGTACCTACTTACTGATGAAGTACATTAGAGGTATAGAGCAAATTTATGCACTTCGCTTCTATTACATTTTATGGAGGTTTTCAGAGGCGAAATCGAATAAGAGTCAGATTTAACATTTCCTTATGACAAAGCCATATTCATAAACCACAAGAATACCCTGTGACACACATTAGGATATTGGGCCATATTTTTTTAATTGCAACCATGGTATGCTCCCAAGAAAGAATACAATCAGGATGTCATAAAAATGACTGTCTGTCTCTTTGCATCATGGAATGAATGCCCCCAGGCTGGACCAATTATCCCACCATCATTAGATTTTCTTCTTCTCTGGCCTCGCGATTCGTGATTCCTTCAGTGGCAAGGTTTTTCCTCTCTTTTAAATGCCTGCTCTTCCCCCATAGACAGGTTATACTGTATGTCGCTTCACCGCGACGAGTGTGTCTCAGTTCCCCTGTTGCTTCAACAGATGTCGATTTACCTCGTGTTATGGCTTGTCCATAAATGGTGCATGTAATCCGCTTCTGTGCGTTTCAGCGTCTATATGCTGCATAGCAATTAGGTGTTGAATCCCGTTCGTAGTTCATTGTGGTTTGTGCAAAGCGGAGACAAGTCAATCGAAGTCGAGTGAAGGGGAACTAGCAAAGGCAAGAAGTCGGTTGGACTCATCTAAGCAAGTCTCATTCGTCTTAAATCCCTAACCTGTAATTCAGGGACCTCACTTCTTTCATCAAGTGTTTTTTGATCACCGGGGAAGGAGCACATGTGTTGGTAAGGAAAAGCGAAATTACAAAAGCTTTGTGTTATGATGACGTAAGTATTAAAGCCAAAGTTTAAATGGAAATAATTAATGAGGAAAGTATAATATGCAGGGTGTTCCCTAAGTCAGTTTACCCAGGGGTTT